TAGAGTCTGATGCAACCGCAGCCAAAGGCACGGTTAATAGAGTAGGCCTGGGAAAGGCACGCCACATTCAAACTCGTTATCTGTGGTTACAGGAACGTGTGGCGATGAACCATTTAAAGGTAGAACACATACCAGGCAAGCGGAACAGGTCTGATGTGCTGACAAAGTCAGTACCCGGAGTCCAAATGAAGGACACAATGAATCGTTCCGGATTTGTGTTTCTTCAAAGCAAGAGTAAAGGCCAGATGAGTCTTCTAGATTCGTAAGGCCCTGGTCCAAGCTCCGGCTACCGCACTGTATAGTTGCTGTGTGGGTGATCAAGCACCCTCCAGCAAGGAGGAGTGTTGAAATATGTAGCCCAATACGCATGTTGTCATATACAGTTGTACAGTTGAGACTACTGACATGTTTTGGCTCAAGAAAATAAGGCGCTCCGAAGCGGCCAAATAGATTTTCACTTTTAACCTTCTACAGGGGTGGAGCCACAAAAACCACATCCAAACCGTTTTCTAGAGTAATACAAAGTCGCTCCAAGGCGACCCCGAGCGGTTCCAAGCCCAGAGCCAGTGCCAAGCGCCGTGGCGACACCGGAGAGGGAAGCGGGGTCAAATGGAGTTCGGCGTCGGGTTTGTTGGGATCCAAGGGGGGTCAAAAGGTAGAAGAGTTAAAGTTAAGGGGAAATCGCTTCAATGGGAACCAAGTGGATTCATGAACTGCTGATGGTTTTGGATTGGGGCAACCCCGGTTTAATCGAGAGGGAAACCGGGGGCGGGGGAAACCACCCTTCTCTTGAGACTGTTCTACACTTTTAGACGTATGTTTAAGGGCCGTGTTTAGCACGGATAACTCCAGAGGCGTCAAGGCCTTTTGACTGCAAGATATGTTTCCTGCCGGGTTGAAAGGGAATGGATACTTGACTGACAATCAATCATCAGCCTTTTACTGGTGTCCTCCCATGAGGCTCTTGTTTTGCCTGTCTTGTCCCAGCGTGCCAATTGGAGGGCTGGGCCTCCACTGCCACGGATGCTCTTGGCCGTAAGCTCTCGTCAGGATTCCGGACATTTACATAGAGCTTCCTTATGGTGCTTCGTTTGTTGCAGTTGCGGAGGTTGAAGGGGGACTGTTGGCTGTCGGTTTCGTCAGTCCACTGGAACATGAGCTACAAGTTGAAAACTTGCCTGCCCGACCCACATCTGCCGGTCCTTTGCGAATTCCTTCCCAGGCCCGGCCAGGCTCTCAATGTAGGCGCGCAGGGTACTGGGATGGTCGCATTGGGGTATGTGTCAGAATAGGGAGCTACAGAAATCAGTAGTTCCCCTCATGATTTCCCTGTCCGCCAACTTGCCAGAGGTAGCCGAGATTCAATGCCTCAGAGCAGATCAGGGTAGTTTTTACGCGTAACCGGCCGTAAATGCAGTTCCCTGGCCCATCCATGGCAAATAACTCCTCGTATAACGAAAAAATAGATACAATAAAATACATTGCGATCCCCGCACGCGCCAAGAACAGTAAGCCGCGCTTTTGCGGCTCGATGCCAAGTTGTGGACCATTGGCCCACGGGTTTGGTCAACTCCTTGCCAAGGTGTCCCAAGGCTTCCACAAGCCGCACCTGTCTCCTCCAATTCTTTGGGAATAGGTATAGTTGACACTTTTTCAGACCCCGTTTGATGAATGGTCCGCTTTTCTGGCCTTGGACCCGTTGATTGCAAGTACCCGGTTTTGATTGTGACTCACTGATATATATATATATATATGCTTCAGTGCCTGGGGCTTCAAATCCACCAGTAGCACGCAGACAAAGGCCGCAATGGGCCCATCAATGCGTTCCCTTGCAAGATGTTTCCTGGCACTTGCCCTTCCAACTTGCTGGGAAGGAGGCCTGGTCAAGATGCTCGTCTTCCCACGTGCGGGTTGGAAAGGGGGTGCTGGAATGGCCCTCCACCCCAAAAAGCAGAACACTTTACTCCGATAAGAAATTTGCTTACTCCAACCACCGCCGCGTGCAGGGCCTCAAGCATGTTGCTGGCTGACGCAACCGCCAAGAACCGCAGTCAAGCAGGGCAGCCTTGACCCCTAATCAACAGCAGCCTCCTTGTCCGGCCAGTGGCGAGAGCCTCAGGCTTCGGTCTGTCAGAGCCATCCTGGTCCGGCGACTGGCGAGAAGGCTTCGGCTTGTCACACTGGAAGCGTCAGCCCGTCATAGCGTCCTGGCGGCTGTTAGTTCCTGTATGTCACACCAGTTGTAGACTTGAGGTCGCCAAGTTGTCACAGCTGTCGCACAGCGCCAGGTGGAGTACGAGGATCCGACGTCACATGAAATCTTACAACCCCAGCCCGGCCAATCCGCAAACATGGCGTCGAGCAAGCATGAGTGACAAGATCCCTGACCCAGCCAAAAACACAACTTGACGCAACTATGTCCGAGTCCGCGTTTTGCACTGAGTGCTGAGTGCTGTCAACTAGAACAATCTCCGTGCGCCTCAGCATTTCTGTGCGTACTGACGGGTTGTCTGATGTGCAGTAGCCTGCTTGTGGGACATTTGCTTGTTTCAGCTCCTTTTCAGGGTCCGACAGGATGAAGCTTGCACAGGCCAAACCCAATAACACCAACAACATCAAGCTTCTTGATTCATGGTTTTGGGTTGCGGGGTGTGTGCAAACTTTCGTGCGCAAACCCAACAACACCAAAATGAACACGCAGCAGGCGCACGGCCCCAGCTGCAAAGCAGCAGGCTTTCCCAAATGCAAAAGGGGACGTGCGCAATTTGTTCGGACAACAAGTTCATTGCCACCGTTTGCCACCAACTGGCGCCGCAGAACTCTGCGACCTTTCTCTGAGCAGTGTGTGTGCGGGAGGCACGACCATTTTATTTGCATTTATTTGCCACCACCCGGTTTCCTAGGTACACCCGTAACTGAGGACTAAGGACATTGTAACATCATCTCGGTCAACTCTCTCAGCTTCACATGTTTTCAACCGGGCTACTTGCGGGTTTCACTGGAAGCACTGATACCCCCTGTCCGTTAGGAATAACCAGGAAAGGTATTTCGCTTCCACTTCAAGCTCACATCTTGGTTTCAGGCTGTTTCAAGTTTGCTTTTTGTCAGGAAGGCAGGCACCGGACACAAAAAGAAATCAAGGCCCCAAACAAGCCAAACAAGGGGTTTTGTTTGAATTGACGCAGTGGTTTCCTTCGGTAATTGCAACCCCTCCCGCTGTATTTACGCTCTTGGGTTGCGGGCTTGAGGCCTACGCCTACAGAATTGGCCAGAACCCGAACCCCCCCACTCGAGACAGGATGGACACTTAACAACTATCTACTTCAATTGGAAGTGGAAATCATTGTCCTAGTTTTTCAATCGTTTGCAACGCCAGCTGCGAACGCTCAGGGGGCATCAGTACTTCCAGCGAAGCGAAGCCGCAACAACACCGTGTTGAACACACAAGGAAACTGAGAAAGTTGACCGACATGACGTTGTAATTTCCTTAGTCCTCGGCCAGGGGTGTGCTTCAGGATCACGGCGGGTGGCAGATAAATGCAAATAACCTGGTTGTGCCTTCCGCGCACGCTGGACAGAGAAAGGTTGCTGAGTTCTGCGGCGCCCTTCTGACCGGGCAGTTAGAGGAAATCAAATTATTGCCTGAACTATTTGTGTATGCCCCCTTTGCGTTTGAAGCTTGGGAGTTTGCTTCAATACTTTGCAGCTGGCGCTGTGTGACATGTAGGTCGCTTGCAACTTGAACTTAATGTTATTTTACTTATTCCGTGAGACTGAAGCTCGCATCGTGCGAGTTTTTGATTTAAGGTTGCCTTGTTTGGCGACTGATTTGTGCGGAAGACATAGTCAGGTGGGGAGTTGGGAGTTTGGCTCGGGCGGCACATCTGTTTTCTGGGTGAGGACATGCACAGGTTCAATCAGGACACAAACTGAACCCCAAACACGGTACGTAGGCACAAGCCCAGACCCAGGTCAAGATTGGTAGGGGGCACCCGTTTGATGAAAGTTCAACAAATCCCGTAGCAAGCGCGCAATTCCTGAAAACCTTTTGAGAATTCCAAATTCCACCCTTAGTTGCTGATATTTGGGGAATTACGGATTTGCTGGGAATTCTCGAGGTGTTTTTGTGAATAGTCTTTAGTTTTTTTTGGAGATTCCCAACAATCTTAAGGTTGCTTTGGACTTTCGATTCCCGACATAGTTGCTGAGATCCTGTGATGTTTTGGCGAATGTTTGGAGTCCTCGAGATCTTTTTTCGAATTGTGAAAGCTGGCTCGCTTGACGAACAAACACATACCTTCTGATGTGTTTGTTTGATAGAAATTCAACGGACACTTGTTTTCTTGCAACAACATAAGCTTTTGCTGAAGGTTGGTTGGGACTTTCCCATTAACCCAATTGCCGTCCCCCATTAACTTCTGGCAAAGTGATTGGTGGGATTGACCGGCATGACAAACCATCAGCCACCCTCTTCAACTCTTCATACGTCGTGTGTCAAGCTCTCATGGACATTTGGCTGCCCGGTATCAGGCAGAGACTTTGCTCCAGACTGGGGACTGCTTGAAGGCAAACGGACTAGAAGCTATGAGACTGCCACACGTGGCTACAATACAGTGAAACACTCGTTTTTTTCATGTTTTTTCTTTTTCGGAGGAACGCAGCACTCACAGCGCCGACAACTCAATGTGAAACACACACCCGAGAGCAGGTTCAGCAAATGTCCTTGCAAGATTTGGCACGGTGCACGCTGTTGCGCCAGGGCCCGTCCTCAAACACAGCCCCCTGCCCTGAAATGCCGGCCTGACCCCTGAATTCTGAAAGTTAACACCATGGGTGTCCTTTATGGTTGTTTTGGTAGAAAAATAGATGGCCTTGGTTTTCCTGGTGGTTTATTCTTCTAGGGAAACCCATCTATTTCCCCTAAATAGGACACCTATGGTCAACACCGAGTGCATTGGCTCAAAGGGATTTGTGGACCGATCCGTCGGCGCTGTTCCGCCATGTTCCGTGTGCTTGGATTTTGTCTGGTGGCATGGGCCAGGGCCGAGCCTGCAACTCGGTATTTGACTGACGCGTGTTGGACCTCGTCATATGGCGGTTGGCTGGAAATTACACTTTTGCTGTGACGCTGCCACTTGTTTATATCAATTTCTGCGACTGCGGAAGTTCCGGTTTCCAACCTGAGCCATCAACAGAAGCCACGCAAGTCCGCTTTTCCCACGGGACGCTTTCATCCCCTTGGCGCCGGGCGGATGTCTAGGGGTACCTTCCCCATTCTTTCGCTGGATCTTTCTTTCTAGAAAACCTCCGGAATCCCAGGGAAACGGCTGGTTTTTGAAAGGAGCGATGATTGAAAAGAACGGGGAACTCCCCCGCGCCCGCGCGCCGCGATGTTTTCCTCGCCGAGGCGTGCACGTCGCGGGCGGTGGAGTCGGCGGCGCCGGCGCGGCCGTGTCTCTGCGCCTTCGACGTGGACCGCACGCTCACCGGCTTTCAGGCGCGGAGCGCGCGGACAGCTGGCAGGTGGGATGGAGAGCTGGCCGGTGCTCAATAGGTAGGGAATGGCCGAATTTAGGGTGGACACCTGGTGCGATAGGTGGGGAATGACCCAGGGTGTTGCAAAAATAAAGCTGATTCCCTTTGCAGGAAGACTCAAGGGATGGTTTATAGGGGTCGTTGCCTCATTCCCTGCTGGGACCCAGCAAGGAAAGCTGGAGTCTTTCACGTCCCCTGAGTTTCTGGATTTGATCCACTTTTTGGCAAGATTGATCGATCTAGGGAAGAAACACAAATAATAGGGTGGACTTGCTCTGACTCATTCATGCAGGAACTGAGTTCTGGCTAAGGGCCGAACCTCAGGATTAGCATTGTTTGGGGACATGCAGCAAGGGAGGGCTAACCCACAAGCAAATATCATAGACTCCCCCCTATGGTTTTCACGCAATTTAATAACTGCCCCCCAAATCAACCATACCAAAACCATAACATGAGCTTAGGGGTAAGACCCTCATAGAAAAAACCCACCAAACAACAAACCACACAAAAAACCAAACAAGGAACAACACAAAGAACAATTACAAATATATTGAATAAATCTAATAATTTTATCTTATTAGTCTAAAACTATAATTTCAACATTTCAAAGCAGGTAATTTCCTAGTAAGTTCATCCATATTTTAAAATATAAGTTTTAAAATATAAATTTTAGAAAATATAGTTTTACAAAGTTTTCAAAAAATATTATTCCAAAAAATATGATAAATTATTTTACAATAAATTTTATCACAAATGTTGTAGACATATTATGGGCAAGGTCTGGTTCATTCGTTTTTTATAATTAATCAAATCTTTTTCTAAACATTTTATATTTATACAATATGTTAAAATCAACTGCATCTAATTTTTCCTTGCTACAAACCCATCTGTTGCCATTCTTTTTCATTTCGATTAACCATTCAAATTCTCTAAAGCTTAAATACCACCAATTGGATGTATTTTGACTGTATGAATAGTTTCCAGCATTTCTAATTATGTGTTGGTTGTTGGTTTGTTCCATATATTTTATCATTGCATGTTTTAATGGGATGTAATTTTTCGTTTCAATATTGTTTATCATTTTATGATGTTCTGTAATTTCCTTTTCTAACCGTTTTTCAGTTACAAATCCGTAACTGTCATCTTCTTCTTCTTCTTCTTCTTCTTCTGTTTTATTATCATTATCACTCAAAAAATCATCAATTATTTTAGTTTCCTGTTGTTCAATATAAGTTAAGAATTCATTGATAATTTCTTCCTGTTCAACCTCTGTAAATACAGCCATATTTATCACTAATATATATAGGTATTATTTCTTTAAACCTTTTTAGTCTAAAACTATAATTTCAACATTTCATGTCGCAATAGAGGTTTGGGAAAATCACTAACATGATAATACTTCTGCCCCAATTTATTTTCTATTTTGGTTATTGTATGGACTGTCCTTAACCAATGACTGGTTCTCTCTTTCTCGCTAATCGCTTTCTTTCTCATTATCTTGACTTTGTCCCCTACATCTAAATCAGGATACACACGGGTTTTTCTGGCATTCATTGATATATTCAGTTTCACTTCAAACTCATTCTTTTTCTTCCTTGCTTCTAATGGTGTCATTTTCGTAACGGAACTTACTAATTTATTATTATATGTCAATAATATTTCTAAATTGTAATCTATCCATTGTATATTGTTTTTACCTTTCTTTTCATCCGCATCAACTCTTTTAAAAAGCATATCTTTGTAGGTTCTAATAAATCTTTCTCGAAAAGCAGGGTGGCCTCTCGTGGTGTGTAATTCAATTTTTTCCTCATCAAGATAATCTGTAATGGTAGAACTAAACAAACTGCCTTCTTCGTCGCTGTATATCATTTTGGGTTTTCCGCCCATTTTCTTAATGCCTTCCATAATTCCTGCTAATACATCTGGCGGTTGCTTACTTGCAATAGGTATTACAGTAGCATATTTACTAAATATATCAATTAATATTAATCCAATTCTAAACTTTTGATTTTCCAAATCATTTTTTGAAATAAAAAACAAATCTAACTGAAATTCCCAGAAGGCATGAGGAGCAACAAAACTATTCTGCCCTCGCATTTTCCTTTTTTCCTCAACATTCTTTTTAAAGAACTCATTAACATCGTCCGCAGTAATAGTTTTATCTTTCTGTCTGGCATCTTTCAAAGTTATTGCTTTACTACCGTATCCGCTTTTGTCATAGTAAATATCACTAATTATTTTTTGTTTATCCATATAATAAATTAAGATTTATTATATTGATAATATTATTTATAATTTAAATTCAGGATAATAAGTTAATTGATGGTTATTAAATTGTGTATATATCTTACGTCTGTCATGCATCAGTTCAAAAATAATATTGATATCTCTCACGGTATTTTTCACATTAAACTTTTTGCTTTCAATTTCTGATTTAATGTCTTCTTTTACATCACACCCTTCTCTTCTACGATGTAACAATATCCATAAAATGTGGTTAATCAGTTCATACTTTTTCTTACTGATTTTGAGAAATATTCTAACATAACTATAAGGTGGTCTTTCATACACAGTTAAAAATATTATAATGTCGTCTTCAACATTTCTATTATGTCTTCTTTTCAGATTTAAATGACATCTGATTAATTCTTGATTATCTCTCCATTCCTGACAAATTTTACATTCATCTTCTTCACCCAAAGCATAATCAATAATATTATTAACTATTCCATTAGGTAAATTCATTTTGTATAATTCCATATGTTCTTTTTTGAAGTGGCAACAGTCATAGCATTTCTTATTGATATAATTATTTACTTCTTGATCCTTCATCACTCTCTACTATATATAGGTATTATTTCTTTAAACCTTTTTTAGTCTAAAACTAAGATTTTAATATAAAACATATTAAAATCTTAATGAGCTGAAACATTACAATATACACAGAATGAAGTTGAATTATCTATATGGTGAGCGATTGAATTATCAAGGCGCTGACAAGTAAAGTTGCTACATAATTTACCTTTCTTCGTTTCAAAGTTAAATGAAGTATTACACTTTTGGCATCTGGCGCGAAACTGTGATAAACACCATTCAGCACTAATGTATTCTTCCTCATTAATTTCTCTTTGAGCGCGACGGTCTTGTATCTTATAATTTTCTACTTTGTTTTTAAAATATCTCATTATCATATTTTTATCCATTTGCTTATCAAAGTCTGGATTACAATAAAATTTAACTTTCCTAAAATCAACACATCTTGTAATCGCTGTCCATAAAAACTCTCTACTTACAAATGGTAAATTCCATTCATGTATTGTCATGCTTTCTTTTACACTTGCTCCCTGTGATGAGTGAGTAGTAGCACAATACGAATATATAAAATTAGCATCTACAATAGGTTCAAACAACACAAATTTATCTTCTTCCCTTGCTATATTTTGTAATGTTATTTGTTTTCCTAATTCATCATCTTGTATATTTGTAATCCTGTATCTCAAATTTATATTAACTCTGGGTTGTTTAATCCACTTTCTGGCAATTAAAATATCACCCACTACATACTTGGCATTTATGTTTAATCTCTCTCTGATTTCACTTGCTACATTTCGGCATCTAATATTGGTATAGGCGATGTTATGATCCGATGCCATTATATCATCAGTGAATTCAAAATATTTGGGTATGATGTCATTAATTGGCAATTTATTTTCCCAAAAGTCAGCATACATATCATTAATTATTGCTCTGTTTCTTTCTCCTTTTTCACTATCTTTTGCACCTACTCTTTTACAAATTGTTAAGAAGATGTTGTATTTAAAGATTGTGTCCAAACAATTATCCATGTATGTCGCTGGATCTTGGCAGTTAGTCAGAATTTCTACTCCCTGTAATTGCTTGACATCACCAGTAGCAACAACAACTTTATCTGGATTATTCTGAATGAATAACCTTACTTTATTCAATACATATAAATTTGCCATATATATTTCATCAAATACAATTATATCAAATGGCGAGTAATCATACTGTGGCAATTTCTCTCCGGCATCTTCATGAACGGCAATGCTAAAAAACTTGTTGTATGTTGTCGCCTCTACTTCTTTCTCTTGTAAAAGTCTATTGGTTGGAACAACGAACAGAACATTATAATTCATTTTTTGGAAATATTCGCCTATATAACTCTTACCTGTGCCCGGAAATTTACCCCTAACAATTACTGGATTTTGTTTAATAACTTTTTACAAATGCTTTCAGTATTCCATTCATCTTCAATAGAAATATTAATATTCTTAATCTTCGGTATTTCAGGTAATTCATTAAACTTATACTTATATGGTTGTGTCGGTAATGTTATAGTGTGCTTCTCTTCAAGTCTCCAGTCGCCTATCTCATCGCCAAATTTCAGCAGTCCTTCCCGCCATTTTCTCAAATAAGTATATCCATAAACTTTATCCAAATCGTCTTTGTGGATAGTAAAACTGTCCGTTTTAACACTATACACTTTAACATTATTATCAGTTAATGTTTTATATGTTTCATACATTTTGAAATTATGGTATTGTAGCAAAAGCTCTTTGATGTATGTAAAACCGTTGCTCAATACTTTTTTATCTGAAACATTCAATACATAATATGTCATGCCTTCTGTATCCTTTACTCTCATTTCATCATCTTCTAATTCTTCTAATTCTGTTTGGTACTGACCGATTGTATAGATTTTACTGTTTGGATTCAACTTTTGATAATAACATGCCTCCCTCAATGAGTTAAATGTGCTACTTTTCTGTGATGTGTTATGCGATTTTTCCAGCATACCGATGCTTATGTTTGCTACTTTCTTTTGTAGTTGCTTATTTAAATCTTCATTGCTTGATATGTTTGTAGAATAAAGTTCATCAATTATTTTCTTGTAATTAACTTTATAAACATGATTAGGTTGTTTGTAATATAATATCTTCA